CCCCCCCTCCTCAATCCCGCATTGATTCTTCCGCCCAGGTTGGTGTTTGTAAGTGTGACTCGGTGGGAATGACCTGCCATCGACTCTCATTACGTGTTAGCTGCAGGGTCCTTTTCTCGGCCTGCTTATCTCACCCACACTGCAGTGTTGCCGTCAAACAAGACCCGAGGCTAAACAGCTTCTTGGACAGATTTGATTGTGTAGCGCTACGATTGATTCATGTGACAATAATATTGACGTAATGTGTTAAGTTAAAGTAGACAATTTATTTCAATATAAGGCTAACAGTTATTCTTTAAAATAAATTAAATGCTAAATTAGCATATTAGCATATCTATGATTAAGGGATTTTCCTCCACACGGCTCTCTACATGGTGACAGCTGAGCTGGCGGCTAGAAGCTAACGGTGCTAACAGCTAACGGTGCTAACAGTGCAACAAATGGCAACAGTGCTGAAGGTGAGGGCACAGACACTGTGAAACCACATGCAGCAACAGGCCGGACCAACTACGTGTACAACGCACAGTGAAACTCTGATCACAACACAAACAGACAGAGTGAGACTTTAAATAGCTGTTTGCTGCTATATGTCAATGCCCTGAATTGTGAATTTGGTGCTTTTTAATAATATAATTATTATTCTTTTCTCATCAACTAATCAATTATTTGAACAATTTTCTCAGTCAATAACCCAAAGGTATAGATTTACAATCATACATTACAGAGAAAAGCCAATCTTGACAAATTCTTTATTTCAATTCTTGTCAGTTAATTTTCTCTTTTATTTTATAAACCAATCAATTAATCGACTTATCGTTTCAGCATGAAATCTGACAAAGTATCATGTTATCATTACTTCCCTGTCCAGATTAATCTCACAAGATCTCTGTATTTGAGAGTAAATCCTTCCTATAATAAGCTTTTATTCATGTTTTAATGGGAACTGTCAGGAAACGCTGGCAGGATGAAGGTTTAATGGGTTCTACTGGGTTCTCTTATGTTAGTCCACTACACTTGTAATACAGAAACTGGAACGAAATGACAGCATGAAACACAGTGTTGTTGTTTTTAATTTTTTTTACTCTTAAGCCCGAGGCCACAGGCTGTCCGTCACATGGTTATTTTCTAACCCATTGCTTTCAACCCCAGGTTAAGGATTCACACTTCAGGGTTATACTTTTTAAGCCCTACAGCTTGAAAGATATGTTACTGAACTTGTATAAGATTGCTCTGCTGATAGAGTGGCATTTCACCATCTATGTTCTGCATTTGCTCTGACTTTGAGGCCCACGGGTTCTTCCCCTACTGTTTGTTTTTCTGGCCCTCCTGCACCAAAGCCCCCAGTACTCTTCATTCTTCCAGGAAAAGAAGAAGATGTTCCAGAGAAGAGAGGCTAATCGAACATCACTAACGCGTCCTGAGCTTGTGATTCAGTGTTTTCCCAGAGGTGCGGCGGAAGAATTTCCGGCCTAACACCTTTTTGGGTTCAGCAGATCTGAAACCTGGAGGCAGTGAAATAGAAAATGGGTGCGACTTCTGACACTTAGCTTAATGCTCTTCCCCTCTCACGTCAGAGACACCACATCCCAACCCTGAATTCAGATTATGTATCGTACTTAACTTTGAAACGGTGTTACTTTCCCTTTGCCACCCATACAGGTCAGTGGAGGTGTTCTGCAGCATTAATCCTTTGGCTGCATCTCTAAGTGAGAACATGTGAACTATTTTACACACAGTGAAGTTAACGACTCATTCAGGAACTGATGGAGAATTTAAGGGGTAACATATTTGTATTAATGCCAATATTAACACGTCACACCTCTCCCATCCTCCTACCTTTGGAGTGCCGGACGCTCGCCCCTTGTATGTTTGGAAAGTGGCTGTAATAAAACGTTGTAGTTTCTCCCTTCACAGAGAACAATCGTGTTGGCCACAATGGAGTCCAAGTTGTCTCCGTGGAAAAAAAGGGTTAAAATGTCAACGGAACCCTTCTCAAACCACTCCTGCATCATCATAACCCACCGCTCTGTTATTCATCCGAATGCTTCTACACTGCCGTTCAAAAGTTTGATTTGTTGAAGTCAGAGATGTCTGACAGGACTACAACATGTTTTGGAATATTTTCATGCTTTTAGGTTGTAGAAAGTCTCCTTAGGGTTAATAAATACATGTTATGTTGTATGCAGGGCTTGCAAAAAAATGTCATGTTTTGCACATGGAGAACAAAACTCTTTGTTTCCTTGTCAAGTGTACAATAACGCAGCCTATAGCGAGCTGGAATATTAGCAGGTGTGTTGCTTGAGTAAAGATATTCTAAAAACGTCTCAATAGAAATATAAGGATAGTCTGGGTTTAGCACTACTGGAAATAGATCACAGAATATCAGCTGAACAAGTAGCAGGTTAAACCTATTTAATCCAACCGTTGAGTAGACGGCCCAAAGAAAAACGGCTACCCAAAATATTTAGAGCCCAAAGGCTCCGTTGTGGTTCAACAATGATTGAGTATTTAGGTACAAATGGTTCCAACAGTATTCTCTTGTGGCATAACTATTATTATTTGGTTTCTCTTTACATAGTCTGTAAGTTGCCAAAGAGAAACCATATAATTGTAGATATTCCAGTGCACCAGCAGCGTACAGGTTTGTTGAATTCCAAATGGCTCATTCACCGTTGAAGCATAGATTTCACCCGTTTGTGTGTGCAGCATCTTCTGTGCTTCTGTCTGTCGTGCTCATTACTGCCCCCTACAGCTGGAGAGCAGAAAACATTCACAGCGGCGGTGGTTGGTGAGAACTGCAGTCACGGTGTTGTTGTTTTTATTACCCTTCTAGGTCACAAGCTACAGCAATGAACCCATTCAACTCTTAAGTTAAACTTTCCAGCCCCACAAAGCAGACATTAATGCTTCATCGAGCAGCATGTTCTGTTTTTAAGTAAGAAGGCTTCAAGGAGGAGACCTCGGTTGTTGATTTGGCAAATGAATTTCGAGTGAAAGTCCTCTTACGATAATAAAGAGCTGCACTTCTCTCAGCTTTTCAGTGGGAATCATCAGCGAGTCTCTCCCATGCATAGGAGAGTCCCCGGCTGGACCATCGTCGTGCATTTTAAAGGTGCAGGTCTGGATGACTCAGTGACTTTGAGCCGACACTGAAAAATAAAAATAAAAAGAGCTTTTTGCTCCACATGAACTTGTTTTAACTGGAATAGTGCTGCTGCCTCTAATTATTGTTTTTGTTATAGATTTCAATGTTTAGTCAATTTATCATTTAGTCTATTAAGTGTCCATCACAGTTTCTCAAGACCGGAATTGTTTGTTTCATGTGAGTCCAAGACCCAAAGATATACAATTTACAAACATATAAAAGAAAGAAAGCAATAAATCCTCACATTTAATCAAATGCTCTTTCTTCCCACTTGAAAAATGACTAAACCGATTTGGTTATCCATATGGTAGCTGCCAATTAATTGGATGGACTAATTGAAAGACTCATCATTTTAGCACTAAACAGTTGCCATATTTACGTACGTCAACTCAAAGCTGGTTACTTTAGTAATAAGTGAAGTAGATTGAGACTCTTGCCTATAAACAGACAGTTACGTTTCAGTATTTGACACCGATGTCGCCCTCCGAGAGGAGCAGATTCAGATGCACAAATGGCCTCATTTGTTCCCGTCTTCTGCGGACGACAACAATCCTTTCATCGTGAGGACGGGGACCAAAAGGCATCAACATCAGAGTAGACGGTTGTCATTTTAATGCGTCTGGTAAAGTGCAAAGACAGACGTCTGCCAATGAATTCCAGCGAAAAAGTTAATAACAGTGACACAGCATTTCTGGGAACAGACTGCAGTCTGAAGTGAGGGAACATCTTCTCCTCAGTTAAGGGCAAAACAAGGTCTTCATCAAAGCCTTTATTTCTGTGAAATAGAGGAGTTTAGCACATGGGTATGAACACATTTGAATAATCTAAAGTCTTGCTCTCGTCGAAGGAATCCACAAGTGGATAAGATGAGAGAGGTGTGTGTGCTGGTTGAGATCTGATCCGACACAAGTTCTCTCTGAAGTTTGACTCACTGCAGCTCAGCAGGGTGTGTGTGTGTGTGTGTGAGTGTGTGTTTGAGGAGCTGATCAGTTCATTGCTGAGTCATTTCTTGTGATCCAGTGAACTCCAATTAGTTTTAGTGTTCGTGTTTATGTGGAAGCTTTACTTTTACTTCATTATACGAAACATTTTGTGATGGTGATACGATAAAAGACTGATAAACCATTTAAAATAATGTAATAATAATTACATTCTATTCAATACCTCATAATATCGATATTGCATCATCAGATAAAATATGTCACCTGTTCTTTTCATAATAAGGAATCAACCCTGCAGTTAAAAATATTAGTCAGTAATTATTAAATGATTATTGGCCAGAGGAAGGCTGATACAAATGTGTGTGATTCAATTAATAATAATATTAATACATTAATACAAGATTTATTGCATTTTCTTTTCATTTCCAAATTAAGAAAACAATCCAAACAGAATTGAAGTTATTTGTCATTGATTGTTGTAAAAAGTAATTTGAAACTTTGATAAAATCTCTTATTTTTGTTCTCTTAATGTAAACAGTGACTCGGCAAAATAGATTGTTTCAACAAATGAGAAAAGGCAAAGCATACAGTAACTATACAAGTGGTTCAGTGTCTGAAAAATGTTTGATGACTGATAAACAATGCCCTCAGTAATATTCATTAATATTATATAAATGGAGGGGAGAAGGTGGGAGGGAGGTTAAATGCAATAGCAACATCTGGTAGAAGGTTAAGCATGTTTGTGCCTCAGGTTCATCAGATACGAGTCCAAATGTTTCCCTCATTTTCACTCATGTCTGTCCTTCTGTTTGAGTGTTTGTCCTGAAGCAATCTTCCTCCTTCCTCTCAGGAATCCGATCGTGGGACGTCGACCTCAATAGCTGCGACCTCGATAAGCAGCTGCAGCTGTTTGTAACTCGTCACTCGGCCCACTTCTCCTCCGAGGTCAAAGGTCAGTGTGATGTGGACCACTGATGAGAGTGATTAGGGTCGCCTGTATATAAGAAACACATTCACACTGAGTTAGTTGCTGCCATCAGAGGGCTGCAGGGATGACGTGGAGTTGTAGGCTGATACTTAAAAAATCCTGACTTGAGATTGAAATACAAACAAGTCAGAATGATCATATGTGACTAGTTAGTTATTGTTTTATTTCAATTGGAGTAAAATATATAAACAAATATAGAATACAAATGTATATTACTTATTTATATATATATTTATTTATGTATATATACATATATTTATATATATACATATACGTATATATATATATATATATATATATATATATATATATATATATATA